ACACGGCAGGCAACGAGGGGCTCTCGACAGCAAGTCGCAACGATCCTACGCTCAGCAGTGCCACTGGAGGCTGTCAGTAATGCGCATGGGAAACCAGGGAGGACCTGGCAGGCCCCAGGTCCCCCGTATACATGTTCTCGCGTGTGCCTACGTGACTTAAGGTCGACCTTGGAAAGACGGCTCGGCTTCTCGGCAGCAGCACGACTCGACGGCATCTGGTGTGACACTAGTGTGACGAAATTAATAAACGAGGGAGCAGGTCCCATTTTGCGCACCGGAATCGATCCGCAGCTCTTGCAAGACCTCAATAAAATACAACAAAAATGCGAATACATAGTCAAGGTGTGCGCACATCGATTTATGCAAAACCGCTCACGAAGAGGGGTTGTGGTAAGCTACAAGAAGCAGATTTGCTCAATTTTTATAAACCAGGGTGCCATCATAGTAACCGAGGCTGCCGGCAGGCCTTGTTGATGGCGTAAAATGTCGCAGCTAAATCGCAGGTAAGTATGGCCTCGGCCAAAAGTCGCTAATTTCATGAGCGCCTAGCGACACCGCGGATGAGCAAGAGGCATTTAAGCCCGCTTTTGTCTTTAATTCGTCAGAAGTTTATGAGACATATGACATGCCACCCACAAAAAATGTCCCTGTGCGGGGGTTTCGCACGATCGACTTGCTAGAAGAGCCGAGACATCGAGTGTCCATAGATTAAAACATTGATGTCCGATAAGTGCGCAGGCCCACCCCAAGCGTGTCAGATTTCGTTGCAGTTGATGCTTCGGCGTGCCGAGTCAGCGGTGGATCATTGAAAGTTTCAAGTTGTCCGCGTGGCGCAGCGGCTTGTTCCTTAGCTACTCCATGTCCTGCTAGTCAACTAGCCTTTGGAGATATTATGGCTGGCGAGATAACGTCGATGTCGTGTCCGAACGGTCGCTCGCCGCCCGGTTTTTTTGTAGTCGCGAAAGGGTACATAACACGGCAAACCTGGCGGGCGACCTTCCGAGTTCGGCTGTTTCATCACCGTTGAAGCGCAGTAGCAGTCGCGACTTTGAAACTCGGAGCCCTTGAAACTGCGTTGCAACTGTGCAAATGCAAGGCATGCCCCTGTTACGAGTCGACGCGAGCGTGGTTTA